TCCCAGCGGTCTCATATAGATATTAAACAGCATTGGGGAGATAATCGACCCCTGTGGAACCCCGCAATTGAGACTCCACGGGGCCGAGACACTCTCCCCAAGCTGCACTCTCTGGGGACTGTCCCCCAAGAAGGAACGGAGCCAGGCGAATGCCGAGCCACCAATTCCCAACTCAGAGAGCCTCCCCAGGAGGATACCGTGGTCAACTGTATCAAAGGCCGCCGAGATGTCGAGGAGGACCAACAGTATGTGCCGTTTTGTTCTCTCCTCAGGTGCCTCAGCTTACTTCTGTGTAAAAGACGCCCCTCAATTTTTTATGTAATGATTGTAGGAAAAAGTAGCATCTTATAGATGGAAAAATATGGTAATTCTCAGAGCAACAAGATGAACTCACAAAACTGAAGCTGGATTGTACTTGTAGAGGGTAGTAATAATTATGAAACAAAACAGGTAGTCATCACCTGTATATTCACCACCCTCGTCTTATTTGTGATTCTATCCCATATTTGTCCCTATCTACCCAGTTTGGAAGCTGACTAGTCTGGAAGGAAAATGAGGACCTTGGTCAAAATTTGGAAGAAAGCATGCATGATTTGTATGCATGATAGCTGTACATCTCTTTCTGTCAATTAACCTGTTTGGCTTCTATAAGGAAGCATAATTCTGCACATGTCAACCCTGCAGGTCTTTAGTTGTGATCCATTATAGGGCTCCATGGGATCCCTGGTGTGTTCTTTTCACATTTTGTTTGTAATTATTGGATCTGAATACAGGTAGATAATACAGTGTGCTTCTTACCTGGTTTGAACCAGTACTACTGCAGCAACTGCATGCGTTGAACTCATGGAATGATAAAACTATGCCGCTGGGAGGATACTCAAGGGTCATCATGCCCAACTAGAAATATAGGGAATCCACATATAAAGCATCCCTGGCAACTGGCTATCCAGCCCCTGTTTAAAAGCCTACAATGAAGGAGAGCCCACTACACATTTGGAGGTAGAACATTCCACTTTCTTATAGTTCTTCCCAATGTGTAATCAAAATAGTCTTTCTTGTAATATGAATCTGTTAATTTGGGTTCTCCTTCCTCCTCCCCCCAGGGCTGTAGAAAGCAAATTTGATCCCATATGACAGCCTTTTAAATATATGAAGATGGCTGTCTGATCAACTCTTCTGCAGGCTAAACATGCTTAATTCACTGAACCATTCCTCACAGTGCATGGTTTCCAGACCCTCTAACAATCCCAGGTCATATTTTGACAGGGCCTTTCTTTGCTGCCTCATCAGCATCCATTAGACTAAATCACTGTTTTAATGAGGGCAAAGTTCTTACTCAAAATTATTTCTTGTATTGTTCTCTGATACCTAGGAGAGGGATGCAAGCTGAATAATTCTCAATATTTCTAGTTGATTGGAAGTATATCCACTTCACTGTCCATATTGGTTTCTATTCCCAATCCATTCAGTAAAGGCACCATTTAGGCTTTCACATATTTAGAAGTAGCCATCTAGAAATTCACAGTTTCTGTTATCATACTATTTGTTAAGATTCAGATATTCTGCATGCATCTATTCCTAATTTGTAATCAGTATGTAGGTGACACGGTTGCTAATACACATGATGGCTCTACACCATATTAGAAGCAGAATATCAGTTTCTGAGGAATATGAGCAAAAAAGGTTCTTGGGAACTTCCATGTCCTGCCTGTGGAGTTCTCATGGGAGCAAACAGCTGGCTGTTTTTATAACTATAGTGCTGTCTAAATTCTGATTTAATAATATTACATTTAATTTTAGTGATGAAAAAATAATATAATGTTCATCTGTAAGATTTTGCAATGATAATCATATTGGCATTTACCCAGTCTCTCCATATAATTGACCATTTATGTAGAAAAATAAAAGCCAACTCGGTCCTTCTGTGAAAATAAAACGAGTGTAGGGCTCAGTGTTAAATAACTTAACAGAATCTTGCAAAGCCTTTGTTATCATCATAAAAGAAAAATCAGTGCTAATCCAATGCTAATCCAGAAAGAAGCTTTAGGTAGAAAGTATGCAGATATATTTGTAAAGGTTAAATGAAACACATCTGACTCATTGTTCTTAATATTATGGTGGATAGTTAATGAGCCTGATGTTGGAAAAAATGAATCCTTATGCTTGAATGGTTACTTACAATTTTGCATACACTTTTGATGCTCTGCCATTTTGACCTCAGGAAAGGCTTTCTTAAATCCATGAAATCTTTCAAAACAGTTATTTGAAACAGTAACAGGATAAGCTGAATATCTGTTATCCATTTAAGGACTACCCTAACTGTGATATTTCTAGCTTTTGTTTGTTGCTGAAAAAATAGCTTATAAACAGCTGTCCGGATCAGATTCAATTTCATATTTAATAATTTATTAACGTTTCCCTTTCCTGTTGTTTTGTTTTGTGTCTTACAGATGATGATTTTTTTCATGAGCTCCCAGAAACCTTTCCTTCTGATCCTCCAGAACCCCTTCCGCACTTCCTTATTGAGCCCGAAGAAGCCTACATTGTAAAGAACAAGCCTGTAAACCTTTACTGTAAAGCTAGCCCTGCCACCCAGATCTATTTTAAATGCAACAGTGAATGGGTCCATCAAAAGGATCATGTGGTAGATGAAAGAGTTGATGAAACATCCGGTAAGTTGCTATTATTTTGAGAAAATGTACTAAGGACTCATTTGAGATGATTATTTAAATGATCATTGCATCTCTGCTTACACTGCTATGAAGTGAAGAATATAACTTATTTGGAGATAAATTAACACAACTCTCTTTTTTATAAGAACAAGACAATGCAAAGAAGTTTCACTTAGAGATTATTTTGGTTTAACGATCAAGAAGCAATCTCCAGTTGCTTCAAAGTTCTCTAAAAGGCTACACAGGTTTGGTCCTTATTTATATTTTGTGACTGTGTGCAAGACAGACTTTATCTTGCTTGCGCATTGACAATGACAAATACACCTGCAGTGTGACAAGTGTTTTCACTGACCACATTTAATATTAGAAGAGGAAAGATAAAATCTAAGAGGCTTAGAGAATATCCCATGGGTCATAAACATATTTGTGTCAATGATGTGATTCTTCCTTGTTTTGAAGGATTAGTAATCAATACACTGAGTCACATACAAGATAGAGAAGTAAGGCTCTCGGTGCAGTCTGATGACAGCCATGAGAAATAACTATCAAGCAAGGTGATTTCTTTCCCATGAGAATTGAACTACCACTTGCTCTAATTACTCAGTAAAAAATAATTCCACCACATGCCCTGGAAGTTTCATTTGCATTATGTTTATATTTGTTTCAGCTCATTTATTTGCACGGAGCTTAAAAGCCTCCACTTTTAACTGTGCAGTGGTATGTGCAATTTGTGAATATGAAAGTAGTGAAGTATTAGACTAGAGGCTACTTCTGTTAGAAGTAACATTTCTATTAAGCAGAAAAGGTAGATAGGAAGCAATCTTCATACAAAACCATATCTCATAATGAGACAGGGAGGATGAGCATACCCAAGCCTATTAATCTCTAGAACAAACCATTGTCTTTCTGTCTGTCTGTTAGTTAAGAAATGGAGGCTTTTAAAGCAACGACAAGCTAAATAGCCTCACTTTGTTAGAAAATGGCTATCTTGGCCAAGTATGTAAAAGTCAATAAGAGATTAATAGGTTTATATGCCTCCCCCCCCACTAGTTAATATTTATAAGGTACTCAGTTTTAATATGATGTGTTATTTTGTGTTTATTTTTAGTCTATCTTGCTAGCCGTCTTCAAGGTTTTTTTAGTCAGAAGGCAGTTTATGAACATTTTAATCAATGTTCTATGTACACACAGTTCCTGCGTTTCTTCTGATTAGGTTAGCAGGACCAAGAATCAGAATCAAATAAAGAGCTGTATTCTTGACAGCTTTTGATATCAAGAGCTCCCCCTACATTTCTTGTACAAGCAGACTCATGAATCTTCCATGAATTTTTGGGACAATTTTTTTTCTGAACTGTCCATAAAAGGGTGATGCACAGCCTGAGGAAGCAAGACTTGCCCACAAAAGCTTGCAAGTTGTGTGATTTTTTTAAAAAAGTGGTTCATTAAAGGTATCCCCTAACTCTTGCATTTGTATAATCCTGAACCACATAGCCTTTTCCTAATTCTTTCTAAATTACTTGTGAATATGTAAATATCCTGCAACCAGGATACAGCTGGGAAGAAGACTGAACTTGTCACTCAGCTTAGAAATCACCTAGCAGTGTCTGTGACACTCCGTGTCCACCCTCAGCCCTGATTGCATTGTACACAGGTTATCTGTTATTATTAGCAGAAGCTACAATCCAACTGATCAATCATCTGTCAAGCCATCTGTGGAAACATCAAGAGGTTAACAAAGCTAAGTTTTCAGCTTGTAGTAAACTAATCAACATATCCTTCACTGGTAGAAGGGGTAATTCTATTACAAAACTTGCATTATAGGGTCTTTTATTGAGGACATCCTTTACAACTACAGTACATGGTGAATAGAGGTTACATAGTGAATACAGCCCTTATCATTAGACAAAATCCATCCAGAAAGCAGTGGAATTGAGAAGTTGTAAGGAGACCATTATGCAGACCACATGGCCTGCTCCTTAGCTAGCCTGCTATACTCAGCTGTGTTCCTGTGTGCTTTTCCACCACATGATAATGGTTCATGTTCCAGTCTGATCAGCATCTGAAATGGAACATTGATGGATATAATCTTATACTCAGCCTTTGAAAATGATCATACCATTTCTGTCCTTGTCCATTTTGGTCTTGTAGACACACCATTTCATTCTGGGAATGTCATTCATTTGAAGCCAGGAACAGGGGGACAACATAAAAGATACACTTTTCTTAGAATTCCCATTCATTCTTTGAGACATAATGAAGATTTCTCCTGAAGTCCTAGTTGTAATTAGAGGAAGGTGCTTTAAAAAAAAACAGACAACTATGAGTGAAATTGCACTGCTCAGTCAAAGAATAAAGCTGAGTGGCATGCCTAACTAGACAGCTACACAGATGGTAGTCCACAAAACTGTATACCAGAATGCATTTCTTCATTAAGATGCTCCAAGACTCTGTTTTTTTTAAATGGCTAAACATTCTTGTACATGTTCTTGAAACCAAACCTGAGCAGATGCTAAGTTATGGGACTCAGCAGTGCTGTTGTGTTGTAGTAGCGCATTGCCTGTCCATTTCAGTCTTGCACTGTGATCTCATTAACTAATCTCAATATTTTACTTACATAATACATAAAAGCAATAAAAGCATTACCCTCAGTTTGACATTATAGCCACTAAAATCTATCATTACTTCGCTATTATTATGACATGTGTTACTGACATGTTCAAGCTATATACTACTACTGTGCTCAGTGTGGGATAATAATGTGTACCAACCAAAATACTACTCATACGCTCTTCTCCCTGTCTCTCATTCCCTCAAGTGCATGTTTCCTTTCCTTACCCGCCTTAAATAGTTCATTATTCTTTTCATAGATTCACATGATTGCCACTTACAGTGTATCCACATCCCTCCCTCTATCCAAATCCGAACAGTTTCCCTCATGTAACATAACTCAGTAGTACAGCATTCTGCAATTATAGTCTTTTTCTCTGTGTTGCATATGAAAGCCAGGCTGTAAATCAAGATTATGCAGCATTTAAGTGTACCAGTGGATGCTGTTTTATTTATTTTTTTCTCAAGGATGCTGAAATCCTTAATAAACAGGCTTGTAAACAGCTATCTAGCCTTATATTCCTTGTTAAACTCTGAAGGAAGATTAAATTCACATTTCTCCCTCCTGCTGCTTAAAGCTCCACCCGTGTTCCACTAACGGGAAGCAAAGCCCATCTTAAGTTGCTTTCTGAAATGCCATCTTAGAACCAGATTTTCTTCTAAAGTCCTCAGATGATAAAGAGTGACAAGGAAAGCAAACCAAGCAAGGAGCAAAAGATGCACATATGGAGCGGCAGAGCCTGGCAGTGCATTCTGTTTTGAAAGACAGGTGTTAGCCGGAGATTACAGGGATGAAGGATCAGGAATGTAAAATAAAGGCATGTTACTGACATGTACTAGTATAGGCATATACTTGGCACAGCAACGTATTTATGATTGTAAACTATAAAGAAATAAGTGGTGGGGAAGAGAGTGAGAGCGAGGCTTTAAGGGCTATAAAGGATTACATGTTCATGAACTTAGAAATAATGAAAGGGCCAAGTAAGATCAAATTGATTCAGAGTTGCTTGTACATTTCTCCTTTTTTGTTTTTGGCAAGATGTATTTTTTTTCCTTACTGGTAAACACGAAGCTGCATGTATGCATCTATTCCAGGTATAATTCAATATGCAGAAGATGAAGAGAGAGTAGGGGTTAGATATCCACATTTCCTTTGAGAGTAACTGGAAATCTGTGTCCTTAGAGGCTCAATTATTTTTAAAAGGGAAAAAACCTTAGTCCTACTTGCTGATTAAGGGTAGGAAAGCTGATTAAGGGTAGGAAGTTATTAGTAACATAGGTTTTATGAGCCATCACATTTAAAACTGCCAAAGTATGGCTCAATGTGTTAATGCAGGTACACTGCATTCCACAGGGAATGATGAAAATACATGAATTCTCAAGGCCACTGACCTCCAGAGTTAAAACATCTTGCTACAGTGGGGTCTTGACTTGAGAACATGATCCGTATTGGAAGGCGGTTCTCAAGTCAAAATGTCTGTAAGTCAAGTCTCCATTGACCTACAGTGCATTGAAAACCGATTAATCCCGTAACAGGCCGTTTTTGTTCCATTTTGGTTTTTTTCTGGTCTGTAAGTCAAATCTCAGTCTGCAAGTCAAACCTAAATTTTGCAGCCAGAGAAGTCGGCAACTCAAAAAGTCTGTAAATCAAGCCGTCTGTAAGTCAAGGGTCCACTGTATCAGAAAGGCAAGGAGTTTCAAAGAAAACTTGCAAGATCTTGTTGTTGTTAATGCTATTTTTGTAAACTACCTAAAATAGTTCAAATACTGTGTGGATACTGAAACTTATGATAGCCGTCAAACAAGCTGACAGCCTAATTGACATGATGTAAAAGAAAAGGAAGGGAATGAGGAAAGCATCCATTACAACAGCTGCTCCTTTTCTGATCATTGTGTAGGCAACGTTGGTCTCCCCTGCCATGTTTGTTTCCTTTTCCTGGGAGACAGGAATGCAGCCTGCTGGTGGTGCTTGATCCCCATCCTATGTCAGCAACTAGAACATTGCTTTTTGCACCTAGGCAGTCCCCAATGATCTGTCAATTGACGCAGCCTCCTGGCAGGCAGAGAGGCCAGAATTAGCTTCCTACAGCAACTCTTTCTCTGGTTGGTAAGTGGTCCTTCTGTGGCTACTAGGAAATGCACTTGCTATGATTAAAGTTGGTCATTTCCTTCCCACATGGAGAGTATGGCCTTCCAGTGACCCTTGGCTACATTGTGGCCCTCTTCAGCTAGCTTTTAGCCTCTCTTCTACATTTTCTCTGATATTAGTGAAATAAATAGCTCATCTCATCCATATACCTTTCCACTTTTTATCCTGATTTCTAGCAGGCAATATTTGCTGCTTTGATGTCTAAATAGGAAGATGTAAGACAAATGCTAATGCTTTCTCATAT